CCCTTATGAACAAATTGTCAACTTAGTTAAGTACTGGCATGGGAAGATAAGATGAGCATAATTATTTTTTATTCTTTTAGGCTGTCTATTCTTTTAACACCTTAAGACCTTTTAGTTCAAGCCTTAAGGGTGCCAAAAGGAACTTTAGAATCATTTGCTTTGAAGACGTACACTTTGCGTTGACCGTTAGTTCACGAAGTGAGAGACAGGTTTTAACAGAAAATGAGAAATAATGATTTTACTAAGGGTCCGTTTAGTTCGTTGATTCGAGTTTTTAATTCGAGTTAAGATGTAACGTTTTGTGAGAGTTTTTTATTGTAATAAAAAAGTTAGATGTGATTGTTTCTGAAAGTTTTTTACTGTAGTAAAATTTGAATTTTAAACTCGAATCGACGAAATGAACGGGACTTAATAGTGTTAGAATCATTGAACGGGGCTTAATAGTGTTAGAATCGTTGAACAGCACGATTGAGCATTAAGACCTTTTATACACATTATAAAAGATTTTTATTATAAAATCTCGGGATAAAACCATCACTTATAAAATAGTGAGTTTCATTAGGATGCGTCTCACATACTCATTTAATCGGACTTATTTTATATAAATAGCGGGTTTTAACTTCAGGGAGATAAATAGAGGTGTTTTATTTTTATTATAGAAAAATAATCATTAAAGGAACAGTACCTTTGGCTTTGTAGTCCTCTAAGATTCTAACCTTCGTATTCCGTTGTTTCCATCATGAAAGCTTCTTTATATACTAGCATTTACCTTAATTTTTTATATTTTATAAAAATGGAGTATTAAATTAATGAAGTTCATTTTACGCTAAAAAATATAAAGTAATATTAACTCTTCTAATTAGTATGATAATTGGATTGGATTTCCAGTGATAAATTAAAGTGGTTTATTTCTCTGTTTGTTTCTGGTCTTTGGATTTTTTTCATAATGTGGGGTTGAGTTTAACAATGAATAGTAAGGTCCAATTAGTATTAACATATTATTACTAATTAAAAAAAGACAATTAAAAAATGTACTTTTAATACGTTCACACATTATATTACGCATATATTAATGCAATAATATAACAAGTCAAATAATAGGATTTAAATTTAAAAAGCTAAACAAACATGGTTAAATTAAAAAAAAATTAAATAAAATAAAGTAAGTAAAAACAAGGTTGAAATGTGAGGTGTGTGAAGAGGTGCGGGGGAATGCATAAGCCATATTTATAAATCTTGACCATTGCATTCAAAGTAAAAAAAAAAAAAAAAAAAAAAAAAAAAAAAGGTGAACCATTAGACTTTTGGTTACAAAACTTGTTCAACCTCATTCTCCCTTCGTATATATATCTATAAGACAAGATATAAGATACTAGAATATATAAAATGCTGAAATATACAAATCGAACAACTAAGTGAAATTCATTGAAGACAATAAAAAGGCGCAGAGTGACTACAAAGTTAGTACGCTAACCGAAGACATCAGTACAATGATATGGGGACTAAAACAGCCACACCAAAACTAATGCAATTGATAAAAGAAGAAGATTAAGACTAAGAAGAAGAGAGAGAAAGAGAATGAGACATTAATAAGAACAAGTTATTTGATCATCAAATGTCTTCTGGAATGCTTTCCAAGGTTGGGCTCCAGCTTCCATGTACTATTGTCCCATGATCACTTTTGTCAACTTCCGAAACACTTCTTCCTCTCACGATCTTCATTTCACTCAACAATTGTTCCACTGAAGAGAAGTTAGAACCACTCCTACTCTTGTAATTCAAAATCTGTTTCAGCTCTTCCTGAGTCACCACCAATTTAATCCTCACAACCCCACTATTTGTCTCACTACTATTGCCAATATTATTACCTTCTTGTAATCTTAACCTTACCCGGTTCTTATTTCTCCTAACATCCTTCACATGTGGTGTTGTGGTAAAGCTGGCTTTTGCTAATTCCTTTGGTGGCTCTTGTTTGTCAATATCTTCTGCCAAAACTTTGTTGTAATTACTTCTTAAGCAATTCCCCATACTTAGAAACTAAACCAGAGAGAGAGAGAGAGAGAGAGAGAGATGGAGATATTGAGAAGCTGTAATAAAGTTGATATATATATATATATATATATCTATATGTGTGTGTGTGTGTGTAGCGTAAATATAAAGAGAATGTGAAGAGAAAGCACGTGAAGAAGCGGTTGTTGCGCCGGGTATTTGAAATAAAAAAAACAATAGATTCTTGATTCTTCTACTGGGAACAAAAAAATAACAATACCAGTTTATCAAGCATCTTGATGCAATGATGCCCCATTATGTTGTTTTTTTTTTTTTTTTTCCTTAATTTTTGTATTGCTAATTGGTTCATTTTCATTTGCATTTATGCCGTCTGTTACCTTGTGATCAAAGCGTTTGATAATTTTTGGTCAACCATATATAGTTATAATTTATGCGTCAATAAAAAAATAAAACAAAAGGGTAGTCTATAGTTTATTCATTAGTTAGGCAGCTCAAGAGACTATGTTTTGTATATCACTATTTGAAATAATTGATTACGTGTATTTGGAATTAGTCAAAAGCATATACAGTTTAATGCATGGTGACAAACAAAAGCTTACATTAGTGTATCAATCCCTTTAATTGCTGCAAAATTAAAGCAAATGCATGATAGTACCATTTTTATTTTCTGCATCTAATTTGGTTCCCAGCTTAGATCATATTCAATTCAACAAAACAAAAAAATAAATAAAAGCTTATATCATATCCAATGCTCACCCCGCAATGGAACAGTGGTACAAATTAGTACACCTAATCAAGCAAACAATTTTTTCTTTGAAGAGAGAGAATGAAATGAAAACAAAAAATAATGAACCTAAGAATCCAGCCAAAAAACTTGCACATAAAAAATTAATTTTTATTTCTTAATTTTATACCCATTTTCAAAAGCTGTTGTGGTTAACTAACTCATGAAAATAAACTCCAAGGACAAGGATTTCCTAACTAATTTAACTAGTCGTTTGCCATAACCTTTGTCAATGACTTGCATATAGAAATGAGCAGAACGGTCTTGGAGACGTTAGTTAGTCCCTAACTTAATTACTTGTTATATAAAAACTGAAAACCTGGGAAGAAAAGTACAATTATAGAAGTCAAGTAGTTGTAGGCAGTCTAACGGTAGTATTACATCTAACTTCACCACAAGATGTCGAGTTTAAATTGCTGATGCCAATTTAAATAAATTAATTAAACAAAAAGAAGTCAAGACCAAATATAACACATTTATTTTCAAATATATATATATATATATATATAACACATATTTGCCAAGGCTGGCTGGCTTCACGTTGATTAATATTTGCGTTTTGGCAAAGGATACAAGATGGGATCCTTGTACATTGCATGTGAGATGTCGTTGAAGTTCAGGGCATCCTTTCGAAGTTCCCTTCTGGATTGAAGTGTGTTAGGTTCCCATGATTTAAGGCTGGTTTTCAATAAACAGTTGCTTTTTGGAGTATCTTTCACATGGGTTTTGGTTGGTATCTTAGACTTGTAAGGTCTTTAAATACATATGTACAAATATATATATATATATATATTTAATTATAATGCTTGATGTTTCAGACTTGTTAACTACTTAGAGCCCTTGATTAAGTGCATGTGACATATGGCTGACCTTTTCTTCCGCTTCTTTTGTTGTCCAGTTGTTTCCTGTGGACAATGGAAGTAAACCACAGTTTCCCTTCCCATCAGAATCATGTCATGGTTTTGACTTAGGTAATATATATAGAAACTATATATTGTTGTACATCGATATATATATATATATATATATATATATATTGTTTTGATTTAGTCATTTTTTTATCAGGTATATATTAAAGCCCATACCAAGAGATTTGGGGTGATGACGAGCACATTTGACCTCAGTAATTAGTATCTCTATGAAATGTACAGATATTTTTCCTAGAGATTGAGAAGGACTCTTTAGCAATTTGTGTTTAAATCTGGCCAATTAAAGTGATCAAAGAATAAAAACTTTTTTTTTTTTTTTTTTTTTTTTTTTTTTTTTTTTTTTTCCTTTCGGTTGCCATATTTACAAATGAACTTGTTCAAAGCAGAGAGTTATGCAGAAAATGAAAATGTTCTGATATGGTGTAAGGAAGACTACTGGTAGGATATTGTTTTGAACTGTTATATTTTTATTAAGCTTTACTATTTTCTATTTTGATAATTTAGGCCGTGCCTAATATTTAGAGACACATTATTATTAGAAATCAGAATCTCTCATACTGTATAAGGCTTAAATAAAAAATAATGCAACCCAAGAAACCAAGAAAAACAGTGTTGTCATTGGTAATAGTTTTTTGTTCAATATGAGCCTTATCTATTAGTTGTTTGTGTACAAAGGTGGTATTGTTTCCGGCATCTAAGAGTTTGCATTTTGATTTTGAGTTTTAATCTTTTTTTTTTTTTTTTTTCCTATAATAATAGAGGTGATCTCCGCACGTATAGATTTTTTTTTTCTTTTGTGTCCAATTTGCTAGAATGTCGTCTCTACTATGTTGTGAGTGAATCTCTTAGTCTCGATTGATTGAAGCTCTTCGTCAATTATAAAGGTATTGTTGAAAGAACTATTTGTATGCTATATAGTTAATGTGTCCTTTTAGGTTCAGTTTCTCCTAATTGGAACTCATTGCATGATTTACCCCCTTGTGCTTTACCAGAATGTGATGAGGATTAAATTTTATTGTGTTGTGAGGTCATTTGAATGGGTATTAATGTGTGTATTTTCTTGATTGGGAAAACAATTGCTTTCCAGGAAAAAAGAAAAATAATAGTACTAACATTAGAGAGGAAAGACTAGCAAATTGAAAAAATAGAAAGGAAAGAGAGTAAGAATTATTTCCTTACATCAGACGGCTCTCCTTTCTCTGACCAACATCAACGGGTCAACAGCCGGGATGTCAGGCTGGCTGCATATCCAGACTACACAATCTCACTTTCTGAAGCAACCAATCACGTGCCAATGTTGAGGCTTTTCTTTGGGGATTCAATTCCATCACGTGATCATCTCCGACAAAGGAAAAAAATTCACACGTGTTTCTACCCACTTGCACGTGTGAACTGTGAACTGTGAAGAAGTGGCGAGAAGGCAGTAGTAAGGCTGTAACTGCCATTCTTCTATTTCACACACTCCTTCTTCTTCTATTTTGTTTTTTCTTTTGTTTTTTTGTTTTCTATTTTGATTTTCACACTAATCTCACTCTGCATTTCAACTCTCATTCTCTCTCTTCCTCTCTTTCCGTGCTTTCATTTGCATGTTTCTGCCATATTCATCCTCTTACAGCTCTTAATATCCGTCTTGTCAACTGTCATGTTGAACTTGAAACCAAAAATCCCATTTTATTTTCTCTTCCCATTATTTTTGGGCATATGATTCGTTTCAATTAAGCAATACAGGCATGAGGGAAGGTATAATAGCAACAATAACATCGCGGGGTCTCATTCTTCAATTTGTTCTGCTATTGTTCCTCTGTAAGTGTTTTAGCTCCTTTCTTTCTCCTCCATCAATTTAGTATTGTTTTTCAATGACCATTATAAAAATTATAAACTGGGTATTTACTCAATTTCCTTGCTTTTGAACAAAGTTGCTACATTCTAACACTTTGCATTAGTTTTGTATACTTCTTTGTCGTTGACTCACTGTTCTTTTCCTAACTAGTTCTAGCTAATTATTCTCTCGTTTTCTTTTAAATGATAAAGAGACTACTCTAAAATTTTCTGGATTTTGATGGGGATGTCACTATTTGTTGGATTGAGCCTAATAGATTATGTGTTATTTGGTAGTTTGATGATGTCTTAATGATGATAAATGATTCTTTGTAGGACTGTTCGTGATAAACATGCCGTGTTTGTATTATGTGTCACACAATATAATATCAATTTCAAGACTTCCAACTTATAATTTTTGCATTTTTATCCCAAAAAAAAAAAAAAAAAAAATGGGTTCAGGAGGAAGTGTGGTCACTATTTTTCAGTTAACTCTATAGAGTCGTGGCTTTCAACTGTAAAGAAAAGAGCTTGAAATTGAATAATTTGGTTGAAATAAGTACAATAATGGAGAACTTTGGTTTTCTTCCTTGCAAATATTAAAGCCCTTGATAATTGTAGAAAAGATAATCTGACATAAAGAAATTTTTTGCACGACTCTATAGTAGCATTTCTTTGATTATTTCTAAGTTGGAAACATGATTAGAAGGACCTGAACAGTATTCACCCACAATGGCACATGCTTTATGATGGAGTTTGAGAACCTTAAATACGTAATATAGTGTTTCTTATATTAATAGAGCACAAGCAGAGTTACATCTTATAGTTGACATTTTATTTGCGTATCAATACTGTATATGTAACCGTGAATGTTGTTCTTACGTGTTTATATCCCCATGCTTATACTAAAATATGCATCCACACATCACCATCTGAAAAAGCATATATGTATGGACTGTTTAGTGCTAACTGCATTTGGTTTGACATATTAATCATGTTCTTTTATATTTATACCGGTGATTTCTATATTTACACCACTATGAAGGTTTTAGCCAGTGCCAATGTGGGAACCTTGGTGACACAAAAGCAATGGCTCCTTATATCGCCCCAAGTGGAAATCCGGAACCCTTTCTTCCGGTGTTAGGTCCTTCACCAATGATTTCATTAACAAATGGTAGCATACCAGAATTGTCAGGTACGTTTCGCAAGCGTTCGTCGTTGTCTGGTGCAAAATGAATTATTTGTTCACTGCATGTCATATTGTCGTGTACTTCTCCATGAAATAACCATGGTTGTTTTCTGAGAAGAAACGACAGGGAACATCCTATAATTTGTCTAAGTCGGCAGTAAAAGTCTGTCTAAAATTTTCTATACTGAAACACTTCAGTTAAAATGTATTATAAAATAGCATATTTGTGTTGCATATGTAAGTTATTGTAGGGTTCATTGGCCACGAATAAAGAGAATGGTTGTGAGAGATCAAAATGAGAGAAAATGAAGGCATTCGCTTCAACAAAATATGCTCCTTAAAAATGCCGTAATTTTTTCGTAGTCTTTCAACAAGTGTTTTGTTGTAGGGTAAAACGCCAAACCCTAAACTTAGACCCTGAATGGGACTCGCAGGCCATAAAGAAGGGCATTAAATAGTCAAAGACAGCTCAGCCATAAAGAAGGGCATTAAATAGTCAAGGGCATTAATAAGAAATTCGTTATTATTCAGTTGACGAATTTTCACCGTCAACATGTTCAAATTCTGCTTACATTAGATTCTTGAGCTCTGGTTAGCTAATAACTCGCAACACACGCCCAACAAGAAACTCGCTAAATATTTGTCTTGCTAATCATCAATATACTATGGCAATGACTTAATGCTATATTTTCCCTTTCAGGACTTTGCACATTAAAATTTTCAGGTGTTGAAAGTTTATTGAACATAACAGCAACAGATTGCTGGGCTTCCTTTGCACCATATTTGGCGAATGTAGTATGTTGTCCTCAGCTTTCCTCAAGCTTAGTTACTCTCATCGGCCAGTCCAGTAAATACTCTGGGATGCTTGCTTTGAACTTAACTCATTCAAAGCACTGTCTCTCTGATGTTGAAAAGATTCTAACGAGTAGAGGAGCGAATTCAAAACTTCAAAAGATATGCTCAATTCAACCAAGAAATCTCACTGAAGCCTCTTGTCCGGTTTTCAGTATCGATGCATTTGAGAGCATAGTGGAATCTTCAAGACTTCTTTCAGCTTGTCGCAAAATTGATAATGTCAACGAGTGTTGTGAACAAGTTTGCCAAAATTCCATAACATATGCTGCTCAGAAAATAGCATTGATCGGTATGTCAGTTTCAAGTGGGTCTCAAGATTCGCTCGAGAAATTAACGAGGATTGAAGATTGCAAGAATATTGTCCTCCGGTGGCTGGCCAGTAAACTAGATCCTCCTTCTGCAAATGAGGTTCTTAGAGGACTTTCAAATTGCAAAGTAAATAAAGGTAAGCATGAAATGAAAACAAACAGAAAAATGAAAATAAAGAAATAAAAATGCTCGTTAATTCATAATCCCTGTCTTGTCTTATACTCTTTCCACTGTGTTTTACGTCGTTCAGCTTGTCCACTAGTTTTTCCCAACATGAAAAATGTTGTTAAGGAGTGTGCACATGAGATAAGAAACAAGACATCATGCTGCGAAGCGATGGGGAGTTATGTATCGAAGTTGCAAGAGCAAAGCTTCATTACCAACGTGCAGGCCTTGCATTGCGCCACCTCGCTTGGAACAGAATTGCAGAAAGCTAATGTGTCAAACAATGTTTATAATCTTTGTCACGTAAACATCAAAGACTTTTCTCTTCAAGGTAAGTGTTTCTATAGGTTCTTCAAATGAATAGATGCTACGTATAATTCTACTTTATACTTCAATGTTGTAGTCAAGTGCTTATACTGATGAGGATGCTCGTTTATGACATGTTTCTCATGATGGTTGATTTTAATACTGGGACGAACCAGTCGGATCACAAGGTAGTACTTGTGCATTGAAACTGCCGGATTAAGTTTCGAGCATTGGATTGAATTCAGTATTTACAAAACGGTTATAAAGATTTATTAGATTGATTGATTTCTTCCATATTTTCAATCAGAGTCTGGCTGCCTTCTGCCAAGCTTGCCTTCAGATGTGACATACGATACAACTTCAGGAGTCGGATTCATTTGTGATCTAAACGACAACATCGCAGCTCCTTGGCCCTCTTCATCTTCCAAACCTGTTTCTTTCTGTAATAGAAGTATGCCTGAATTGCTAAATCTTACTTTTGTCAATTGAGCTTAGTTTCTATCCATCAAGTTCTGTTTCCTTTGGTTTATCAATCTTCCTTCAACTCTTTCTCTTAGTTGATCCTTTTGTGGCCTTTTTCGAAACTGCAGCTATGAAAATCCCGGCCATTCCAAAGGCTACCTCGGCCCAAAAAGGTAGATGACTCCGGGATGCATTTTACTCTCTTTAAAAACCAAATCAAGCTTATCTTATCTTTTTCCTTGTCAAAATCAATGAGACAGCCCATCGGCATCATTAGCCGAAAAGTCCAGCGGTCTTTTTCAGCGGGACTTGAACTTAGGTTGTCTGCATTTACAACTCATTCCAAAGTGGTGCCTTAACTACTCCCATGTAAACTAGGTCACACAAACTTTCCCGTCTTGCTTTATTGTGTGCCTCTTAGTATTAACAAGTTTTGACACAACTAGAGGTCAATTATAAGTCAATAGTACTAAAAATTGTATGCCTAAGAAAATGCCGAGAAGCTTATTCACTAAAATTAGCGGCCTTTCTTTCCATATTTGGCCACTTTGAAAAAAAAAAAGAATTCCAACGTAGAGATAAAAAAGTTTATTCAGGACCATTATCCTTGTTTGGGAATGGGGGTTATGCACTTCCTTTGCAACACAATTCTTATCTTTTCCCATACTTTGTGTAAAGATATACTTAGAAAATTCATGACCTTAGAACATGAATATAAAGTGGTCGGGGAGGGTCATATTGATGATTGATCACATTTTTATCTTCTTCATTCTACAGTTATTTTACTTTTTTTTTTCTCTCTTTCTTTTTGGTGCAGGCTTTTACATTAAAGACTTGAAGCTTGCCTTGATCTTTTCTTCCTTGGCAGTGATCAAGATGCTTCTTTGAGTACGAAGTTCTTGATTCTTTCCATCATTTAGTTTTGTTAGAATACAGGTTTTTTTTTTCCTTCTTTTTTCCCCTTACCATATAGCAGAGAATCATTGTATAAAGCAATAAACAATAAAGATGATGACGAAATTACTTTTCCTGCCAATGCTGTAAGATAATAGTTTTCAATAATTAAGAAATAAAAGGTTCAGGTTTACTTGAAATTAATATTCCCATCAATATTTCTTAGAAACTCTTTTAGACGAAAAAAAATATTTTGGAAACTTAAGGGCTCGAGTTGTTCACGCTTTGACAATGGTATTTTGATACTATTGATACAGTAGAGAAGTTTAATTATGAAAACAAGTGTTCTTTCTCATTTTTCTCATTTTGTAGTTTTGAATTATTGACACTATCAATCCTTGAATTAGGAGCATTGTGACAATTTAATTCTTGAATTTTTAATTTTGATAAGTTAGTTTCTGAATTTATTTATTTATTTATTTTACAGTTTTGGTCTTAGACATCAAAGTGGTTACTTTCCTTTTTTCTTAAAAAAAAAAAGAGGTTACTTTAATATTTTGGAAACTCAAAGTATAGTTTTATTCGGACTTTAATAAAAAGGTGCATATTATCTTTTTAATGAAAATAAAGAGGAACATTTTTTTTTTTTGTGAGGGATATAAAGATGTACAAAATGTCAAAATATATGTGTGCTTTAAAATATTTGTCATCCGCAGTTTGAATTAACAAAAATAAATAAGTAGAATCCTTTTATTCCGATAATTACGATGTGACACTCAAAAGAACTTTCCTTTTTTTTTTACCCCCCTTTCACACCGAGTCCTTTTGAAAAATAGGCTTAAAATGTGTAATGTGTTTAATGAGTAGGCTCCAAAATAGAAAGTTTCAATGAGTAGGCCTTTCATTAAATGAAAAAATGTGTATTCCCTAAATGCCCTTCTCCTTTTCTCTCAAATTAAAAGAAAAAACGTTTGAAAAGGAGGAGCTAAATCCCCTCCTTCGCTGGGCAGTCACGAGGAAACGTTGCCGGCCAAAGTTCACCGGCGGCGCCGCCTTTCACCGCCGGAGAATGCCCCTACCGACGTCGACAATCGCCGGCATCCATGGTGATTAACAGTCCGAGCATTATTCTCTCAAATCTTGTATTTTTATGCTTAATTCATTGTTTGAATGCTGGGTAATCGTGGTTTGGTATTTTATTTGAAAAACCAACAAGAATCATGCTATTTCATGGCATCTTCGGAGTTGAGTAATCTGTAAAATCGAAGAAACTCACGTCTGTCATTTCTTTCCGTTCTGATTGGTGGGAGCGGTAAGAAACCTGAGTCCGGTCAGAAAGTTCTTACTGGTGTGCCCTGTAAGAAAATTGCCAACCGGTCTTTCCAGTAAGAAAGATCTGATCGGGCATAATTTTTAAGGATATTTTGGTCATTCACTCTTATCCCAGGAATAAAAAAAATGAAAATTAAAATTCCATTTATAACGGGTCTACGAATTGAATGGGTGTACATTTTGGGCCTATTGACTTAAAAAATCCTTTCACCCCCGGGTCCATAGTTCTTTTTTTTTTTTTTTTAGGATATATATTAATATCAACCGGCAAATAGACAATAATATATTAATGGGCGGGCCACGGTTCACAGCTAACTCTAGATGACACAAAAATAGAAACTTCTCATGCGTTCTACATAGAGTTCATATAAGGAAACAAAAGACCCGGATACAACGGTTTTTGACTCCGCCACAAATTAGAAACCTTCCCAATAATCCCATTGAAAAAAAAAAAAACCTTCCCAATAATTTATATCCCTTCTTGTTAAATAAATTTCAGGAAACAATCCCAGATTGAAAATTGATCACACACTTACATGTATGTTCATAAAGAGATGATCTCGTTGGAAACCAAACACTAGTAATTACGCAGAAAACAACAATCTCTATCCTTTTTTTTCCCCTTTTCAGGTAAGAATGGCGAAACGAAGAAAGATTGAAGAAACAAAGGAAGATGACAATAATCATATTCATCACCAAGACCAACAAAACAACATTGTTTCCGACCGGCTATCGGGGTTACCGGACAACCTCATCAGACACATCCTATCGCTCCTTCCCATAGGCGACGCCTTCCGGACTCGCCGGCTTTGCAAGGCTTGGTTTCTTGCTTGGGCTTCGGACCCCGTATTGGACGTAAATAACCAAGAAAATTTTGTCGACTTTGTGGACAAAACTTTGTTACAGTTCAAGGACAATATTTTGATACAAAAATTCAAGCTTTACAAACTTATTTATGGAGAAGATATTGATAGGGTGGAGAATTTGTTAAGTTTTGTTGCCGAGAGGAATGTGAGAGAATTGGATATAGACACCAAAACCAATCAAATTCCCTGCACATTATCTCAATCTGTTCTTCATGCAAATTCACTGACGGTTTTGAAACTGGTCAACTTGACGTTGAAGGTGAATAATAACGTTGATTTTGTCACACTCAAGTCGTTGAAAATTCTCTCCTTGAAATATGTCAACTTGGACGATGAGAGTGCTCGCAAAATAATCTCAAGTTCTTCTTCTCTAGAGCAGTTTGATTTGTTGTTTTGCATTGGCTTGAAAAGGCTTACTATTTCAAACTCAAAACTCAAGAACTCAAAACTCAAGGCCTTGAAGATTGCACATTGTAAATGCTCAAGGATCGAATTTGATTGGCCACAAACCTCGAGACTTTTTCTTATACGGGGCATTGGATTGGCGACATTGGAAGACTAGGTGAGAATGGCACACAACCAAATCTGAAGGTGTTGCGTCTATGGCTGAGGGCCATCAAGGATGCGACGTCGTTGCAAGATCAACCGAATCCCGCGACTTCCTCGTCTTGAAAGGTTGGAACTGGCTTGGAGAGGAGCCCAGCAATTCACTATTTGTAACAAAACATTAAGACATCTTGAGTTGGATACAGGCCTTTTCCATAAGGTGCGTGTCAATGTTGATGCACCAAATATGATTTCTTTCGAGTATAACAAACGTTTGATTTCCATAAGCTCGTTAAATGCTCCAAAGTTATTGGTGGGTTAATTCTTCCTATTGCTGTTTGAGAAACTCATCAGCTAATTATTGGTGTCCAAGCTTAGATATATTGTAAATTTTAGTAGTTCTTTATTTTTTTTGCTTTTAGGATATCTACAGTAAACATGAAGAATGTCAATCTCTTCTTTAATTTTGTTGCGAGGAGTAAATTTTTCTTTTATCTTTTTTATTGTCCACGCTTAATTATTTATTTATCTCGTATGGTTTCATTATAGAATATACTAGTGATTTACCTGCGCATTGCAGCGGGAAATAATTTTGTATTATACAAAGTTGTTGCAAAAATGATGGAGATTAAAGATGAGATATCAAAGGCAAAAGGAATGTAAAAAAATGTTAAGGTTTGATAGGTATTCATTTATCAAACAAAAGACAAAATAGATATAGGTTACCAACACTTCTTGAGAATGGAGGGAATATTTCTCACCTTTTTAAATCAGCTGGTAAGAGAAAAAAAGACCAGGCAGAGGAAGGAAAGATAAAAAAAAGGGGGAAAAACAGTGTTCTATTGCATAAGTAACAATAAAATGAGTCCGTATGAACAATAAATCCCAGTTCTTCTTTAGTACACTTATAGTAGTAATAGCATTTCTCAAGACTCAAAAAATTTTTGTCAAAATTTTAGATCAGCAAATATTTTATTAATAGGGCAAGAAAATCAAATGTAAGCAATAGTAATAAAGTATAAATAGTAGATTTTTACAGTTAGCATAGCCAATCAATGCATGCAATATAAATAAGAGGAAATTAAAAATTATGTACAAAAATTATTGATAATACCTCAAACACTATTAAGCCTTGCACCAGGGCAAATATGAGGCAATGAAAAGTCAATAGCAGTTAGTGACATAAGGATAAGAGAATGCAGCAACAAATGGTAGAAAACCTAGACAAATATAAATAAATAAATAAGTAAATGAGTAAATAAATAAAGGGAAACAAAAAGGACTTAAAAAACTGATAAAGATAGGTATAATACTATCTTTATATAATAAAATAAAAGAAACAAAGAAAAGAAATACACTAACCAAGAACAAATAGAAGAATAAAAGGATGATAATGTCACGAAGTGATTTAAATAAAAGAGCCACATTTGTGTTTTTTGCGTCTTGGGAATTTTTGTGCCAAATAGTAACAACAGAATGGGGAAGCGAAATTTCAGCAATAAGAGAATAAAGCTAATATATCTATAAGCAGTTTTTTTTTTTTTTTTTTTTTAGGATCAAGATTTTTTTTTTTTGTGAAACAGTAACAATAAAATTGGAAAATCAAGCTTGAGCAGCAGAAAAAGGAAACTAATGCAAGCAAAGACAATTTTTGAATGAAACAACAAGGACGAAAAAGGCAAAAGTTGTAGAATAACTAAGAGCAACGAAGAAGAAATTATCAAAATATTTGACTTAAGAACAATGGATAAAATATATAGATAAATGTCATAAAACTCAATATGTCAAAATCAATTATAGTCATCATTGCCACATAAAGAGAGTTACCAAAACTAACAAATGTTAAGTAAACATATATATGCATATGTTGCTAAGAAGAAGGAAAGAAAAAAAAAAAACAGGAAGTGAATATATGAACATCATGTATCAGGCAAATACAAAAGAAAATGAAGGCAAATAATGAAACAAGAACAAAAAACATTAATACCACTCAAGCAAACTGATAGATACAATATCAGTATAAAAAATTTAAAAGTTATGGACAGAAATTGATAATAGTACCTGGAACGCTCAGATTTTGGCTGAAGTGGTAGATATAAGCTGGCCAAATGTCAACAGCAATATCCGACAGAGGAATAACAGGATGGATCAAAAAAATGGTAAAAAACCTTGCGAAATAGAAATAGATAAATGAGTGAGTAAATAGAGTAACCAGGGCAACGGAATAAAAGAAGGAACTGAAAAAATCAATAAATATAAGTATGATAGTATGTTTATGCAGCAATCGTGGCTCAGGTATTCAAAATTTTCAGCAATGTGTAATAAAATAGATTGTGGCTGCCTACTAAGGGCAACTGCACAAAAGGATAACATATTATATCTATCACACAAATTATAATTTACATGCGACACAAAATGGATAACTTGAGTAACATGTAGAGCTGTTCAAAGACTACCAAGTGAATTAAAGATAGAGCAAAACAAAGGAGAAAACAACATAAAAGGCGCAATGTAAATAGAATGTATGACCAAATAAAATAAAATAAAATCAGACAAAAGAGAGACACTAAACAACAACAAATACATGAATAAAAAGGTGATGAATATAATAAGGAGATGAGAATAAAATAATAAGGCATTTCTTTTCCGTTTTTTTCCTGCAGGGAATTTTTTTGTATGAAATGATAACAACGGAATAAGGAAGCCGAAGGTCAGTAATACAAAAAGAAAGCTGTTGCATGTACAAACACCTCTTGAATGAAATGGTAAATAGCAAAAAGGATTGGACAATATTTTTTTTCCCCCGAACGGTAACAACAAAATGGGAAAGCCAAAGCTCAGTAGTGGAAAAAGAAAGCTAGTACATGTATAAACAGTTTTTGAATAAAACAGTAAATACCAAAAGGGCAAAAGCTGTAGAATAAGTTTTTTTTTTTTTTTTTTTCCAAAAACAACAAATAAAACTGGACTCCAAGCGAGAAAAAGATATTCACAGTAATCTTTGAACAAATTACATAGAACTCAACATGCCAAGGTTAATTATAGTCATCACCGCCACGAAAAAGAACTTTCTAAGATTAAAATACGTTAAATAAAGCTATATATATACATGAGTTTCTAAGAAACAAATAAAGAAAGAGTGAACATATCAACATCATATAGTAAAGAAATATGAAGTGAAATAAATATAGATAATAAAACGCAAACAACAAAAATTAATACCATCGCAGGAAACCAATACATCCAATATCAGCATCAGAAATTAAAAAGTTATGGATAAGGATTATAAATAATACCTGAGACGGTATAAATAATGTCTTAAGTCTGATATATCAGCCAACCGAGTGTAAGGAGAAGGAGTGAAAAGACACAGGGAGAAAAAAACAGAGCAGTAAATGATGGATAACGAAACAAAGCAGTAAATGATCGACAGTGAAACAGAGGGGCAAAGACGTGAAATGCAAGGGAAAAAATAGAGGTATAGATGATAAATGTAAAATGCAAGGGAAGAAAACAGTTGCATAGATGATAAATTCAGGTGCAACAATATTTATAAATAGAGAGCAAAGAGAAGAAATGTAAACAGTCCACAGCCTCTGATAACATCACACATAAGAGCACAAAGTCGGTGGATAGAAATGACAGAACAAAAATTTCCTAATTTTAAGTAATAAAAGCAAGACTTAATTTACAATAAGAAAAAGGAAAAAGGAAAAGAAAATAAAATAGAACATGAATATAATAATCGGATCAGAGAAAGAAAAAAGAAAATAAATAAGAAGAAAAAGAGTCACAATATCTTTTTTCCCAAATTTTTCACCTGCCTCAGACAATTTACAAAAATCATGAATTCATTTAATACATTTGTAACATAATGAGTACAATTAATCAACGTGGCAGGACATAAGAGCACAAAGTCGGCGGATACAAATAACAGAACAAAAATTTCCTAATTTTAAGTAATAAAAGCAAGGCTTAATTTACAATAAGAAAAAGGGGGGAAAAAGAAAATAGAACATGAATATAATAATCAAATCAGAGGAAGAAAAACAGAAAGAAATAAGAAGAAAAAGAGTCATAATATCTTTTTTTCCCTAGATTTTTCACCTGCCTCAGACAATTTATAAAAATCATAAATTCATTTAATACATCTGCAACATAAATCAACATGGCAGGACATAAGAGCACAATGTCGGTGGATGCAAATAACAGAACAAAAATTTCCTAATTTTAAGTAATAAAAGCAAGGCTTAATTTACAATAAGAAAAAGGGGGAAAAAAGAAAATAGAACATGAATATAATGATCAGATGAGAGGAAGAAAAACGGAAAGAAATAAGAAGAAAAAGAAACAATATTTTTTTTTCCCAGATTTTTCACTTGCCTCAGACAATTTAGAAAAATCATGAATCCATTTAATGCATCTGCAGCAAAATGAGTACAATTGATGAAGGTGGCAGGACAAATAAGCTCCGTGGACAACACGAAACATGAAGCCAATAAATGGAAAAAAAGAAAACCAAGATGAACTAAAAAAAACATGCAACCATCTACACAAAAACTTCTTTCTAAACAAAAGAATCAATCGAGAAGAAAAATAAAGCATTATATAAAAAAATTTTCAAAAATTGTACCTGTTAGCCACTGGGAAATTGTAACAAATTTCTATAAATATTGAAAAACTTAAACAGACAAGCCACAAAAGCAAATAACTACCAAAAACAACGAAAAAGCATTAAAATCACCAAGAAAGGAAAAGATCATAAAACATGCACTCCTCCAAAACTACACAAAAACTCAAACTTCAAACTAAAATCAAAAGACAAACCAAGAAAATAGAAGAAGCTTCCACCAAAACCTAGATGAATCAAAAAAACCTGCACCAAAACCCAAATGAATCAAGACAGCGTCGATCAAAATCACAAGAAGAAAACAAACGAAAACCACAAATAAAAACGACCAAAGAAGGCAGAATAAAAAAAACAAAAATAATAATCTAAACCCAGATGAATTAATCAGGAAAATGGAAAAAACATGCACCAAAACCCAAATGAAAAAGGACAGCGTCCACCAAAATCACAGGAAGAAAACAAACCAAAACCACCAAAGAGGGCAGAACAAAAAAACAAAAAAATTAATCCAAAATGGCATGCATTAAAGTAAAAATGCATAGCGTCCGGCCAAAGTGGGCGAGAGAAGCAGCAGAAATGAGAAAATAAAAAAAACAAAAGACCCTAGGGCTCCATTTACAGAGAAATCACCGAAGGAAATAGGGAAATCGAACATAAAAGAGGGTGAATGACGAAACCCAAAAAGCAAAAGAGCCTACGGCTCCATTTACTGAAAAATCACCAATGAAATCAAACCCAAAGTGAAAAGATCAAGGAGACAAGAAAGCGTATGGCTCCATTTACAGGAAAACAACCGAAAATGCCCCTGTCAATTTGAGATCCAATGACGGAAATGTCCCCGCCCAGAATGATAATAAGAGAAGAAAGGAAAAGGGTATTTCGGGGAAAAGAATTTCACTGTACAATAAACAGTAAAAAGTGAGGGGGGGCGGGGGGATCTCCTTTAGTATATTTACTAGTGTGTTACCCCGTGCAAATAGCACGGATAAAATATGTTATAAAAAAATATATTATATGACAATAGTTTAGTCTGTAAATAATACATATTTATTTACATATTAAAGTGTATATAGATTTATTCATCTTTACTTTTCTTTCTTGTTTTCTCTGAGTTGCGATAAATAAAAACAAAAAAAGAAAAAATAGTTAAGAAAAAAGAAAATAAGAGAGGCGACAACACGGGAAAAACAAAGAAGTTAAAGCAACAATGCAGAGAAAAAAGAAAAAAAATGGACAGTCACGTGTCTAAAAGAGAAGAAGAGAAAAATTGAAGGGCAAAAAAAGATATATAATGTTTTTTAAACAGGAAAACTCGACCTCCTATAGTAGTGTTGTAGAATATTTTTTAATCCACTTCATTAGATGATTTTCCTTTCTCAATTTGGCTTCGTTAAAATAAATTTCTAACAAATATATCCTCACTTATATATTTTAATTTTCCTTTTACATTCTTTTGTATTTGTTAAGTAAGAATATTCTTTTTTGATATGCCTTCTTTAAATATTCTTTCACATCATTTTAAATGTTTACTTCATCAAATTGATCTTCAAGTAAGCGAAAAAATGTTTAGGGGAAATAAAAGAGACAACGACACCGTAAAGAAAAGGGAAAAAACATAGAACATGAAAAGGAAAATTTTTTTTTTTTAACAAATCAAACCAAAACAAATGATGAAAAAAAAGATAAATTATTCAGAGAAGAAATAGAAGATCAAAAAAGGAAGAAAAATATGAAAAAATAAAACAAAAGAAAAAAAAGGGATAGCAAAAATAATCAGAGAACATGCAAACGGGAAAAAAAATGGAAGGAAAAATTTCAAATATAATAAACCGTTGAAGCTTCACCGAACCAAAATTCAGAAGATTAACAAAAATGGAAAGAAAATGAGTAGAATAAAACACATAAATATGAAAAAAAAAAAACCCCTAAACAAAAACAGAAACTTAAGAGGAAGAGAAGCATAAAGCGAAATGCTAAGAAAGCAGCATAACCCATAAACAAAAGGAAATCGAAGCAGGAAATGAAGGCCAAAAATTTGATAGACATAAAACCCTAACGCAAAGGGTTTCTTGTTGAAGCTTCACCGAACCAAGATCAACACAAAGGGTAAGAAGCCCAAACGAAAAGATTAAGAAAAAAAGGAGAGAAGAAGAAGACAAAAAACATATTAAGAACAAAAGAAGCCTATAAACATTGACTAGAAAAAAAAACCGTAAAGGCCGAATAACCCTAAACAAAAGCAAGAAGCAGGAAATCAAAGGGGATAAAGATTTTTAGAACAAATGAAACCTAGAACATTCACGGAAAGAAAAAAGGAACCAGGGTAATACGCGTGAGAAAAAGCTGCAGACAGAGAGAGGAAGAAGGAGGAAAAACTTTTCAGAGCAAATGAAAGGAACTCTTTGCCAAGACATGCCAGGTGAACGGCAGGCGGAGAAAATAAAAGACCCGAAACTTCTCTTCTACCAAAGTTATGAAAATGGTCAAACAAAGCACAAATGAATGAGGAAAATTCACACAACGTAACCAAAAAAGCAATTGAGAAGCCTGAGAGGATAAGACAAAAATACCCAAACAAAAACCAAAGCAAAAATAAGCAACCAATGATAAAACGGTAAAGACACAAATTTATGATACAACCGGAATTTTTTCAAATAAGAGGGAGAAGAAGGACCGGGCACTATTCTAAGAACAGTAACCCGAGTGCCTCCTTTAGTAGTATGTATAATAATACGGTAATAGTATCTTAATTAGGGATGACAATATAATGGGTTTGAGATTTCGACAAAAAAAAAAAGGCCGCCCTACGTTACATCCATCCTCATAATAGGTTTCGGTTATCCACGAGTAACCCGTTCATTAAAATTCTGTTAATCTTTGTATTTTATTATTTAAACTTTTAATTCATCATTAAAGAAAACAAAAAATGATCATACAACTAATAATACAAAATTAGGTGGTTGCATGCATAATTTAGCAATAAATTCACATCTAATACTATCATAAAATATATAGTTTACTGTCACATGAAGTTCCGGAAAAAAACAGTAATTAAGATCTGACCACTAATAATAATAAAAAATATATTGCAGCAAAAGAATTGAAAAATATACTACTTTTTTTTTCCATAAAAGCAATTTTAAAACAAAAATGGTTGGATTCAAGGTGGATCATAGGTTGGTGACCCCTAAACTCAAAATAAATCCAGAACCACTGACTAATACACACATCTAATTTGAACCAAAAAAAAAAAACAAAAGAAAGGATTATCTTTAATTGTCAAAATGGGCAGGACCAAATGGACTAGGACGAGGCCTGGCTCTTTGATCTGATGCCTTATCGGGTCGGGTTGGACATATATTTTAAATTTTTAATATTTATATGCAAAACATACTGGTTGCCCTTTGTCGAGTTTGAAATTATTCTTATTTTTGTTTTTTATATTTTTTGAGAAAGAAAAAAATTAAAACAATGCATTTAGCACAATTAAAGATAAAAAATAGAAATAAAAATAATTTTTTAATTTAGTGTAAAATAAGAGAGATATTAATAAATTTTTTTATATTAAAAATAATTTCTTAATAAAATTACTAAATGTATTTTTAAAAATAATTTCTATTTAAGATTAAAAATATTTTTATTTATATTTTTATATAAAACGTAAAATTATTTTAAAACGAATTCTAAACGTACCCAAATTTTCTCTCCAACAGGCCTACCAACTTCTTTATGCGGCCCTACCCTGTTTGGTCCACTTTTCTCTGACAACATACTTTTCTTTCTAGGTTTACCCCCATTTAATTGTATCAGGTTTTTCGTTTTGTTATATTTTTTTATGGTTGTCCTCTTATTTTCGTTGACTCTTGATTTCGTCATTTTTTCCTTTTTTTTTTAATCTAGCTTATATCATTTTATATTTTTGCTAGATTGGTTCTTGAATTGTTTAATACTGAGGAGTGTGTTTTTGTTTTACTAAATGAAAAAGAAAATCAGGGTGCACCTCACGCTCCCATCTCCTTTGGCCATTAAGAGTGAGTTTGGTTAGTGTATTTGTACTATGATTTGAATCATAGTTCGTAATTCGTTACAGTATTTTTTTTTTAAAAAACACATAAATTAAAAATAATTTTAAATTCATAAACCAAACGTACATTCAAATAATTTCAGAGACCACAAAGAAATGGAAGAGTCTGAACAGGACTCTAGTCCATCCATCTAACCACAAACCACAGTTCCCCACGTCACACGGGATTTACTTCACTTCCATATTGGGCTGGTTTCTACTTATGACTATAGAGTTTTGAGCTCTGAAAAGATAAAAAAGAATTCCTAGTAAACGCATTCTCACCACTACACAACCCCCGAGGAGTTGATTTCTTAGCAAATGTTAGTCAAATCAAAGGCATCCGTTAATTCTTTGATGAAATTTAGCTCGTGAGTTGCACATGAAGACATTATCTATAGGCTCAAAGAGTAAATTAGTAAATTAATGTATTTGTCTTTTAAATCCTAATTAATCTTAACTTTTGTATAGTAAAAGACCCTATACATTCAGCTAAAACAATTGCAATATGCCTTTTCTTTTTTGTAATTTTCAGTTTTTTATTATATTTAAAAAAGATTGAAAGTTGAAAATTTAAGAAATTTGTATTTCGATGGAATTGTGATATTGAAATTTTTTTTATCAAACTTAATTTTTAATTACTAATTTAACATAATCATTATCAAAAACACTTTATAATTATTTTACAAAATAAGAGAATAAATTGCTAAAATTTAAAATATAGGCGGTAACTTGCCGAACCGCTATATAAATTTAGGTCACAAATGTGTAAATAACCCCTTCATTATTTCAGTTGTCGTTTCCTCTCTCTCTCTCTCACATATACGCGCGAGTCCTTTTTGCCCAAAATTCCCAATCGCTCACCGGAGTCTCGAAACCCCAATCTGCAAATCCCGAACAATCCACCGACCTCAGCGTCTTCCGCCGCCGTCGGGCACCGTCCGATAGTGAAATTGTGAGTTTAGGGTTAGTTTTCCTTCTTACTCATCTGGTTCATCAATTTCGCCTTGTGATTTCTTGATATTCGTAGGTTTTTTTTTTTTAAACCGAAGAATGGATTTGGTGTTTTGTGGTCGGTTTTTGCTCTTCGTTTCTATCAAGCCGTCTTCTTTTTCGACAATAGCTGGTTTTCTTTTCTGGGTTCGAAATTTGACGCATGGGTATTTTGTGGTGGTGATTTTGCAAGCATTTGTAATTAGACTCCTTTTGATTTGCAGCCTTTTTTTTAGTAATTTAAGGCATGTTTTTGTTGGAAATTTGAGCTAATCAAGCTAGTATTTGGTATTACGGTGGTGGATTTTGAAGCATTTGTAACAGAACACTTTTATTTGGGCGTACTGAATAGTGGATTTAGTGGTTTATGGCATATTTTGTTGGAGAAATTGATATAACCAAGTTAATACTTGGTGTGTATGGGATTCTAAGGGCTTGTTGGGTTCATAGGTTCAAATCAGGTAATATATTTATTATTTCAGTAAAAGGACATTAAAGACAAATTCTGTGAAGCTGATAAATGAACTTGTATCCAATGCTCAAGCTTTTCCTACTGAGGAAACTAGAGCAGATTTTTAGGTTTTAGGGCTAAAGCAACAAGAACAAAAGTAAAAGGTTTGGCTACCACCAACTGATCTATTCAAAACTAGAACAGATTTTTTGTAGTTAATAGTCAAATTGCACGTAGGAAAAGAAACAAGTTTGGCTAGTTCTGAGTAATCATACACAAATAAAAATTTCAACAACCAGCAGTTCATAAACGAGAATAGTGCTCCGCTGAAATCGGAGGAATCCTTCGATCACAAGCAAGCACTCGCCCTTGACTGGTTACTCATAATGAACACAAATTATACCCCCAAAAAAGAAATAGGATAGACAAAACAAATACAAAAGCTCTCTTAAGAACATCAAAATACAAAAAACAATTTACGAAGAAACCAATCAAAAACAAAAGGGGCCAAAAAACCCACAAAACTGGGATCCAAAACCTTAAAGTTAAAACAGATGACCAAAAGATGTAGAAGTTGAGCAAAATTTGGGGACTAGGGCCCAAATAAATTTGTGAAAAAAAAATATTATCATGAGAATCACCTTCTTTTATGGCATGAAAGAGAGAAAAGATGGCGGGTAAACAGAGTGAAGGGAACAAAAAAAAGATTTTTTTTTACGTTCTCTCTTGTTAAATGTTAGTTTCGTGAAGCACCCCCAAGTTACTCTTTAAATGTTAGTTTCATTTGGTATTTTCTGCACATATTTGGTGTCAATTGTTCTGAAACAATCTCTCTCATTTTCAGGTTATTTTTGCTGTCAGTCATTTATCGTCACGATGTCAATATGTACGGCAGCTCCAAGTAATGTTGTCAACTCACCTCAATTAGCACCAGGTATAACTTGGACCATTCTCACTTTGTTTACTTCATTTTATTTCTTTGCGTCTATTCTTTTGAATATTTTCCGCTTATAAGCATAACTGTTTTGCTTGGGTGATGCCATAGAACTAAGATCCATAATCTTTAACTTTTCACTGCTGGGGATAATGAAACAAAATATGAAAAAATGTATATATCCAAGTAAAACCAAGCAAAGAGGTGCAATGCATTCTAAGTTTATTGTTAGGGGTTGCAGAGTGGCAGAAATGCCAGTTTTCCATTCTCACGAGGCTTGAAAGCTTATCGGCAACAAGTCGGCACAAAGGTGATTCCATCATGCTCAAACATGAGTCGGTCATTCCTTGGGGAGCCTTTATAGCTCATCAAATTCCCAATAATGTAATGAGAAGTGGGTCCATTTGAATGATTGAGTCCTCGCAAACAGCAATGCTTCTTTGCCACATGGAATTGAGAACTGATATGCAATCATTGAGTGAACTATATTGTCTTTGTGTTACTGCCCAGGAATTTTTCGCGGTGTCTATCATGAGGGTCACTAGACCAATATCCTTTAGGTTCGATTTTGGTTAATAGAGATGTGTCTCAATAAATATTGCTACTTACTTGAAATTTTTCGTCTGTTGATTGCAATTACATGGGTGGTACTGAACTGTTATCTGTTTTGTATTTGCTCACAGCAAGAATAGTGGGATCTAAGCAACGAGGCAAAGCCGATCTAGGAAGCGTCTGTTATCAGTTTCATCCATTGGTTGCTAGAAGTGGACAAGTTCAGAGTGTTAGGTTAGAACCGGTTCAGAATGTCAAGTTGGAACCAATTGAGCGTGGTACATGCTTTGCTTTTGCGGGAACAAGAAAAGCAGTCACGCACTCTACTCTCAGACAGTCTAGCGCTTTCATATGTGCTGCTGCTTTGGTAAGCTTTGTCATTGCATCTCTCTCTTTTTGTACTTGCTTTCTTTGAAATAATGAATCTTCCTGGAAGAAAAAAGGTCTTGATCTTCAATCGTTTTTTGTTTTACAGAATGCCAGATGCAGTGCGGAGCAAACCCAAACAGTTACACGTCAGGCTCCAACAATGACTCACATTCCAGGTAATAGCCATAGCCGGTATTAGTATTAATTGTTCGCTGTTGTGGGTATTAGCAGATAGGCACTGATAGTTGGCAAAAGTGCTTGTGAACATTTCGTGTCGTTGTGTATGAGTATGTGTTAATTCAAGCATGAACCAAAACTGATGTCCCTAGTCTTGGTTGCTTTAGGGTTTCTTGATATTTTCTTGTTGTTTGAAATCTTAATTCAGTGTAGTTCGCAGTGTGATAATGTCTCGAGTCGCAATTCATGGGTCTGTTTTTTCTTGAAATTTTGGGATTGATTTAAATAGTTCATCTGTTGATATGATTGAATTATACAGCCAAGGACAAGTTACCAGATCTTGATGATGGTGGGACTGGATTCCCACCTCGTGATGATGGTGATGGTGGCGGCGGCGGCGGTGGCGGTGGGGGCAACTGGTCTGGTGGATTCTTCTTTTTTGGGTTTCTTCTTTTTCTTGGCTTCTTGAAGGATAAAGAGAGTGAAGAACCTTACCGAGATGAAAGGAGAAGATGAGGCAAAGTTTTGATATCTACGTAAGTGTGGATATTTAGCTTAAATTAATAGCTTGAGGGTTAAGGACTATGGTTTCATTTTTCCTATACCGATGAATATTTACTAGCATTCAATTGTTTAGGAAAATGTTGTGAATTGTTCACATACTCGTGAAATGTTCAACTTGAACTATGATGATGAGCAAGTAGTTCTTTGTAAGCAATGTTAAAATTTTGTGCCCAACTAGAATCTTCTTTGTGTTTATTCTTTATTCACTAGTTTAAGGCACGTTCTCATCTTTTTAGTTTACTTTTGCTCGTCAAGAATTTTACATATTAATGATTTATTTTTTAAGACCAGTAAAAGATTTATTTTTGAATTATTTTTAATAGCATAAAATATATTTTTTTTTATATATTTCTATAATAAGAGGTGCAAAACTGCAAATGTGGAATTTCAAAAGAATATAGGGAATATTTAGGAACCTTTTCCTAAAATTATTTCACTTTCAATTTAAGGTACGTTCATTTTATATCCAAATTATTTCTCAAGAGTCGTACTAGAATCCAAAATTGATGCTTCTTCCTCGTGTAAGTTCATTGATTAGTCATATGTAGTACAATCCAAAATTGATGCTTCTTCCGCGTGTAAGTTCATTGATTAGTCATTAAGTACTAGAATCCAAAATTGACGCTTCTTCCTTGTGTAAGTTCATTGATTGGACGGAGTATTGTAACAACTTTTTGTTGTATACTGCTTCGCCGCCGCAAATTTAGAATTTTCTAATACGCTCATTTGCACAAAAACACTGTATTTAACAAAAAAAAAAATTTAAAATTAAAATTTTTATAAAAAAAAATACTGCGTTATATAACTTAGTCATAAAATAAACAAAAATAAACAAATTGAAATAAATTGTTAACTCTAGCAAAGTTGACGTGTAGAAATCAAAACAAAAAGTTGCTTGCACACAAAAGTCAGTAAATTGTTAATTCTATTAAGCTATGGCCATTCTGATGCAAGTAGTTAATTTGAACAACATACCTCCTATTAAGTAATTCTGTTTGCAAGTAATCGTGTCGAATTTTTCTTTCTTTTTTAAAATAAGAAATTGGGGGAAATTTCTTTTTCATTATTTTCACAGGATATATATTAATTATATAAATTATTCTTCTTGAATTATACCCCTTGTCCTCTAATTTTTAAAACGTAACATTTGTTCCCCTTGAGTAATAAAACGTTAACAAAAAAGCCTCATCCGTTAGGTTTTTTTAAAAGAAATTGATGTTTAATTTGTTATTTAGGATATTTTAGTAATTTTATGGTTTAAAATTTAGTTTAAATTTAAAATTAATTTAAATTTAAACTTCTAATTATGATACATTCATTAATGATTGAATGTAAGTTAAAAATATTATGAATCTTTTTGGTAGAATAAAAAAATTTATATAAATTTTTTTGAATATTTAAGTTACTTTAAATACAAATTAAATTTTAAACCATAGAATTTCTAAAATATGGGGTCCAATACCTATGTTTTTTTAATCTTTTTTAAATACAATAAAATCACTATTACTAGTTCTTTTTTAAACCCTATTTTCCCATTTTGCAATAAAAATTGTCATTATTACTATTTTTTCCTTTCTTTGCAATCAAAATCTTCCTTTTGTTTTTTTTATTCAAGAAAACATTTTGGATTATTATCAGTGATACCCTTGAAATTTAGGCTCATCCTTAATTTGCCTCCTAAACTTTAAAAACTCACTTTACTCCTTAAATTTTAAATTATTTCCACTTAACCCCTTTAGTTGTAATTTCTGTTAAAAACGAATAGAAAAAGGAGAATGACATAGTCACGTGTAGGGTTGGCAAATCGTGTTGCCATGTCAGGTTCGTGTCGTGTCACGCCCATTAATTGACACTATAATCCTTAATACGAACACGACTCTTTAATTAGTGGGTTTACACAGACACGATATAGCCAAACCGTTTATTAAGCAGGTCATTAACGTGTTGTGTTAACCGGTAAAATTTGTATACTAAATGGGTTATTAAGGGTTGTAACCTGTTTACAACTCATCGATCAACCTGTTTAAATTGATTTTTTCAGCTAAAAATAACGTTAAAAAACAAAAAAAAATTATTGCAAAAGTAGTAGTATAAAGATTTGAGAGAGAGAAAGAATTAGGGTTGGGCGGCTGGGTCAGATGGAGAGAAAAAAATGTGAGGAAACCCTAGTGGCTTTACTTAAGTTTTTATCTTCGAGAATATATCACCTTATTTTCCCTTTTCTTGAATATATATGTTTATAAAACATGTTATGAATTGGTTGATAATGTGTCGTATTCATGTAAATCTATTTATAACACGTTTAATAAACGAGTTATTGCGGGTTAATTTCGTGTTAAAGAATTCGTGTCGTGCTGACTCTTTATTTAATTGTGTTTGGCGGGTTCAACCAGTTTTAACCCAAACCCTCTAATTTCGTGTAGGTTTTAAGTTGTGTTGTCGTGTCATGATCTAAATTGTCAGCCCTAGTCACGTGGTCTTTATATTTAGATTTATATTAAAAAGAAATATATAAAAATTATATGATCACACTTAACCCCCATTTTTTCCGTCTTATTTTAAAAGAAATTACAACAAAAAAGGTTAAGTGAGAATAATTTAAAATTTATAAGACAAAGTGAGTTTTTAAAATCAGGATAAACTGACACTAATGAGAATAATCTAAAAATCTTCCTTTGTTTCCATTAAAAGAAGAAAACAAAAAATTCCATTCGTTGCACTTCAAAAGGAAAAAGGAAAAAAAAAAATGAAATGAAATGAAATGAAATGAAAAATCTTTGTTGCATTTGCAACTTCTCTTTCTGGCCACCTATTCTATACATGCGCCTAACCTTATTAATTTTCTTTTCTGTTTCGCTACGTACGCCCGCAATCCTTGAAAAGCCTAGCCTCTCTCTCTCACTGGCCCTCTTCATACGACATCGACTCAGAACACCTGAGAAACGCTAACCATGGCTTCTCCCTCCGACCAAGATATCCGGCGACCTCTACTCCATCCACCTTCCGACCACGCTTCTCCACCCTTGCTGTCCCCGTCTCCCAAAACAAGCCACGAATCCAGCGGCGAACTCGAGAGAATACTCACCGACACCACCCGCCCCTTCCTCCGCCGCCTCGGCCCGGCCTTGTTGATGGAGTCCCGCCTCCTCTTCCACCTCGCCGGACCCGCCGTCATCGTCTACATGATCAACTACCTCATGTCCATGTCAACTCAGATCGTCTCCGGCCACCTCGGCAACCTCGAACTCGCCGCCTCCTCCCTCGGCAACAACGGCGTCCAAATCTTCGCTTATGGTCTAATGGTACACCCACATCATATATGTTTTAGTTTTGATCCGTAGAGTTTTATTATAAATAAAACTACCGTTAAGTTTTATTATATGTCTGTAATTATAACATTAACGTCTTTTGAGTACAATTAATTAAACAATAAATAACAGTTAGGAATGGGGAGTGCTGTGGAGACACTGTGCGGACAAGCCTACGGAGCGCAAAAGTACGGAATGCTGGGGATATATCTACAGCGGTCAACGATACTTCTAACGTTGACCGGAATCCTTCTAACGGTCGTCTACATCTTCTCAAAGCCGATTCTTCTATTCCTCGGCGAGTCGGAGAAGATCGCGTCGGCGGCGGCGCTGTTCATCTACGGGCTAATCCCGCAGATATTCGCGTACGCCTTGAACTTCCCAATCCAGAAGTTTCTCCAGTCGCAGAGCATCGTGGTGCCGAGTGCCGTCATATCGGCGGCGACGCTGGTGGTGCACATATTCGTGAGTTGGGCGGCGGTGTACCGGATCGGGATGGGCCTGCTGGGGGCGTCGCTGGTGCTGAGCTTGTCGTGGTGGATCATCGTGGCGGCCCAGTTCGTGTACATAGTGAAGAGCGAGAGGTGTAGGAAGACATGGGCCGGGTTCAGCTCCCAAGCCTTTTCAGACTTGGGCGGCTTCTTTAGGCTCTCGGCGGCGTCGGCCGTTATGCTGTGTTTGGAGACGTGGTATTTTCAGATTCTGGTCCTGCTTTCCGGCTTGCTGGAGAACCCAGAGTTGGCTCTCGATTCTCTCTCTATTTGGTAAGTTTTATTTTCTTGTTTTGTTTTGTTTTTTTTTTTTTTTTATATATACTACCAAAAAGGATTAGTTATAAGCGGATTATTTCGAACTTATTATTAATTATTACGGTTGGTATTAAATGTGATTTGTGATGGTAATTAAGGCGGCCATAACAAAGTAATAATAATACAAGAGTTAATCTTATAATAATAATAGTTAATTTCTTTTTTCTTTTCATAGAATAGGAACATGATATTTCTAAGAAACAAAAAATACATAATAGTTCGAGATTCCATCGAAATAATAAGAATGATAATAATAATAGTACAGGAGATTTTTGTTTTTTTGTTTTTTCTCACGTGGATGTGGTGCTCCACTGTCAAATAAGTCATTCATCATGTCAAATGAAGCGATAAATAAGACTAAGAGTCCGTTTGGTACTTAATTCATTCCTTGATTCGAATCATAATTCGTGATTCGTTACAGTATTTTTTCATATAAAAAATACACATAAATTAAAAATAATTCTAATCACATAATTTAAATTCATGAACCAAACGCTACGTAATTTATGATCGGTATGCAATCGATGTGAGTGATTGGAGCACTGACATTTTCTAGCCAAATGTTAATGCTCAATCCCCACTCAATCGTCAATGGACAATACGTACCTCTGGTCCCCAGTCCCCACTGACAAGCTTACACCATTATTACATGCTTCTTGTTTGAATCTGAAAATAGTGCTTCAAACCAACATCACTTAGCACATAATATTCTTCTTTTTAAAGCAATTCCGACATCGCTTATTATTTCATTAATGCTATATATCATTAGCGTGATAATTATAGCATCGTCATTGTAGGAGTATAGCCTAATTACATGTAATTTTTATGCCAAAACTTTTTGCCACGTCTAGCAAAGTTGAACCACTTTAATTTCTTTCGTTTGAAAGATACAAATGTCGACCATAAAGTATATAACAAAATTGTGTAATGTACTTTTTTTTTCCTTTTTGCAATAGGGAAGATCTTGGTTTTCTCTAAAAACACATGCCATATACCACTAATTTATAGCTAAGAAATTGTAACAAATGCTTGGGCAAGTGTAGTTTGAATCATGACAAAGATTCTGTTCAATTTATTGTCTCTATAGTCTTAATCCTTGTATCTTCCTCTCTCTCTTTTCTTTTTCTCTCAATTCGTCCTTTCCTTATTAATCTTCAATAATTAATAGTTGAATCAATTTCCAAGTAGTTCGTGCAGGAAAAAAATAAAAAGATTAAAGCCAACGACTTTGTCGTATTGCATTTATCATATCTTCATGCCCATCACACACCCTAGCCATGAGCATACAAATAAATATATTCTTTCATTTTCCATTAATTGGTCTACTTGTGATTTTAGTGCATTAAAGCAATTTCAACTTTGGTCAATTGCCACAAAAAGGTCACTTGATCTTTCAATATAATTAATTAAATGTCCATATGGTTGTGTGTAATTTGCAGCACAACTATTTCCGGATGGGTGTTGATGATCTCAATCGGGTTAAATGCAGCAGCGAGGTCTTGTATTATTCCTATCACTTTTCTTTTCTTCCCAAGTTCTCATGGAATAGACACAAGAGTCTATGCATGGTTAAATGGTAATTACTAATTAATTAGTGATAATTTCAATGTGTAAATATGTGATTATAAGCAGCGTAAGAGTGAGCAACGAGCTAGGAGCTGGACACCCAAAATCAACTGCGTTTTCTGTGGTGGTGGTGACTGTCATATCTTTCGTCATCTCGGTGATTTCTGCGATTGTTGTGCTTTTTTTGCGTGATGTCATTAGCTACGCCTTCACGGAGGGTGAAGTTGTGGCGGCCGCAGTTTCTGATCTTTGTCCACTCCTTGCTCTCACTCTCCTCCTTAATGGAGTTCAGCCCGTCTTATCAGGTAAGAATTATAATTTTAGTCTTCAAAAATTTTGAGAACACACGAAATCACATTAGAATTAATCAGATAAATCAGTTGACTAATTTTTTTTTTTTACCCTAGTTAGTTATATATTGCACGATCCTTTTTACGTGATACACTAGTTTTTTGTGATATTCTTCTTGTAAGTATATCTGAAAAAAGGAAAAAAAGAGCTTTTTGCCCACACTTTGCTTAATAAATCATATGCTTGTAATAAACATTATTAATTCGATTATATACATTATATGTTTTGTGGTTGAAGGGGTCGCTGTTGGGTGTGGATGGCAAACTTTGGTTGCGTACATAAACGTAGGTTGTTACTACGCGGTCGGTGTTCCATTGGGTTCTCTTCTAGGATTTTACTTCAAACTCGGTGTAAAGGTACATTATTGTTCAATGCAATAATATGCATATATCAACGCTTAGAAAAAAAAAAAAAAAAACACAAAACACAAAACACACACGGTGTTTTTTTTTTATTTTTATTTTTTATTAGTTTTGTGAGTGGAGAGAAGGTCCGTTCATTTCACTGATTCGAATTTTGTTATAGTAAAAAGTTCTCATAAACATTCACATCTAACTTTTTTACTACAGTAAAAAGTTATCACATAAAGTCACATCTCAACTCGAATCAATAAATTAAACGAGCCGTTTATAAACTCTAATACTTTCTAATAAAATCAGATGTTGAATTATCACTAAACTAAACCTGCAGCTATGTTAATTACTTAATTGTCCGCATTGGATGTATAGGGGATATGGTTGGGAATGATTGGAGGCACTGTGATGCAAACACTCATCCTGTTTTGGATCACTTTTCGGACGGACTGGAATAAAGAGGTGCATATATAGGTCTTCTTTAAAATATTCGTTATTATAACCCTATTCAATTAACAAAAATATCATCCTCTTATTCCCGAAATAAGGGTTGGTTAGAATAAATAGTTATGTTCTTTCAGTTATTTCTCTTTGTTGTAAAACGGGATTTTGAAATGAATTTCAGGTGGAAGAAGCAACTAAAAGGTTGAGTAAATGGGATGCGTCGAAGGAACCAATTTTGAAGAACTGACGAGAAGAAGATATTGTAGCATTAGTTTTGAAGTTCCGATAACATTAAAATTCTTTTCTCACTAGTAATCTCCGCATGTAATGACAAGGGTATGGGGTTCCAATAAGTTTTTTGTTGTGAAAAATCGTAACGCAAGTATACGCTATCGCAATCAAGTAATATAATAGTGAATAAGAATATCGTCCTACGAGGATTGTTGTTTACTAATTACCGAAATTATATTAACCCTAATTTTATTTGAATACTTGAAAAGAGAATTTATAAAATTAAGTAAAGTAAAACTAAAACAATTAAATAAATTAAACAATGCTAAGCAACGGATGAAAATTCAATAGATTAAGATTCTAGGGTTTCCGATTTCACCAAATTAATCATGTTCAAATTCTCATAATTCAAGCAAATTAACATTCAATCCTATACTGACAGCAATTTCTCTAAAGCAATTATTATTCTTTCTCAAGCAACAATAATATTAATCCAACAAGCAAAATCTACATCTCTGTCAGACTTCTAAACCTGTTGAAAATAATTAAGTGTAAGAAATTCAAAAGAACTGCACAAGCATCATAGATATCTCTATCCTATGAACAACTCATGGTATTTCAATTAAGAGCTTATTCAATTATCACCTCTCAGTCTCAAATCAAATACAAAATCATGTAATAGTTGGCCAAACAATCACAAGCATTAAGAATAAATTGAAATACTCAGAATATATGGATTAAACATCAATTACTTAAAAAGAAGATTGAGAATTCGAACATTCATAATTTGGCTACATCGTAGCCCTAGAAAAAGGAATTAGTTCATCTCTAAACAAAATAAATTCCTAAACAAAGTCTTAATCATTGGAAAGGAAAGAAAAGAACTAGTTTGGAGTTGAATTGAAGTGTAGCCGTCTCCGGATTTGAGCCGTTCTTCTTCTCCGTCCCAATTCTTCTTTCCTTCTCTTGAATACTCTCTCAAAAGCCAGCCGTCATTCCACAGTTTAAAAGTCTCTTTTAATTGCCTTAGAATCATCTATTTATATGTTTCAGAGCCTTAGGGTCAAAAAGGGTAAGTTTTCTCGCGATTGGCCTTCAAAACGCGTATTTTTTCGTATCGTAGCGCCGCGGCGCTGTGTTTCTAGCGCTGCGGCGCTGCTATATAAAATTCATGGGCGCTGCGGCGCTGTAATGGGCGCCTAAGCGCTGCCCATTCTGCCCGGTGCATAATTTTTGTCGGATTTCAGTGCCGCAGCGCTGCAAACTAGCGCCAAAACGCCATCAGTTCTGCCCAATACGCTAATTCCATAAAACTCAGCGCCAAGACACTATAGATTGGCGCCTAAGCGCTATGATTGCTGTCTTTTTCCACCGAAATTTGTCCAAAACCTTCCAAATTATAGACTTCCACCTATCCTTCAAACAAAGAACGAAAACACACATAAAAACTAACAAAAACCTCGAAACCAACTAGTTATTAAGTCTAAAACGATACCAAATGAGCCAGTAAAACTCACTCATCATTTTTCAATTAATTCCACAAATTAATGATTTTAAGGTTTACTCTTAATCCCACTTTGATCCTTAATTTTTAAAACGTCACAAAGTTAGACCTTACAATTTTACTGTGTTTCAGTTTTTGGTCCATCTGTTAATTAGGTGTTAAATATTCGACAAAATCTGTGAAAATTATGAACTAAAATTGACAACACCTAACATTTAGGGACTAAAATAATATAAAAAAATAAAAATTAATTTCTACAAGTAGTTCTTAAATTTTGGCTGTTTTCAATTTTGATCCTTAATTTATACGGATTTTATTAAATTTTTAACACCTAGTATGGAATGACCAAAACTGAAATATAATAAAACCTTAGGAACCAACTGTGGGACGTTATAAAAGACAAAAATAAAAGTGGAATTGAAAGTAAAACCTCAGGAACCATTTGTTAAATTAATTCTTACATTTTTGTAGCAAGTGATGTGACAAGTGAACTCATATTTTTTTGAATTAAATAGTCCATATTCATGAGCTTTTTTTCTTTTTTAATAAAGTCGCCCACATTATTACTACTACTATTATTATTAGGAAAAAGGATATATGAAAAAATAAAACTAAGGGCTTGTACGTTTCATATACTCAAATTTAAATTATTGATTTTGCTATAATGTTTTTTTTTTCACAAAAAATTTAAATTTCAAACATCACAATTAAAAATCATGATTTGAGTATATCTTAAAAATCATAATTTGAGTATACCTTAAAAATCATGATTTGAGTGTACCTTAAATTTAAAAAATTTAAATTTCAAACATCACAATTAAAATCACAATTAAAAAATTAAAAGATTAAAGATTTAGTACTAATTATGACATGGAGTCTCACCCAATTTTAGATGTCAGCTTTTAGCTGGTTAAAAAAAAAAATGATAATCGCCACTAAATAACTAATATATTCCTATAACTAATATATATCAAGTCATTGTTTCACAGTTTTTAAAAGATTAATTATGTGGTAGGTACCTTTAAAGTTATTTTAAATTATTAGATTTCACTTGAGCACATATGATTATGTGATCCAATTATTCAAAACTATTTCAAAGCAAATATTTTTCATATCCTACTACGTAATTTTTTTTCTTGGAGACATTTAATAGTGAAGTCGTTTGAAAGAAAAAAAAAAAAAAATATATATATATATATATCTTATCAGATGGGATGTTATGTGATGAGATATTGTTTGCTGGAAAGCGACGCCTTTTCTGCAACTTGCTAGCTTAGTACTCAGGAGGACCAAACAAGGTGATATTCATCGAGTATCTTTTGTATTTATTGATACTAAATAAACATGCAGATTCTCCTTTGATCTATTTCCTGTCTAAGAAAATATTGTCCTTCACATGTCAGCTACCATAGTGATTGCTCATGACTAGAACAGTCATGACAAGGGTTGGATTGGACCACATTTTTAATGCCACGAAGAGCTTTCCAATAAAATAATCATTTTGCCCTTGAAAGTTCAATTCTCAAGGGCCCTGTTTGGTGTGCAGGATAGGATAGTACAGTTTTAGGGTAATGGATTAGAATGTATAGGAAAGTATAAGATTAGATTTTAGTTCAATCCAATCTCATATTTGGTGTTGTATTATTAGGATAAAGGCATTTTTGTAAAAAATTTAAAATTTTCAACACTTAAGGGGCAAAAATATAAAATTTTAAAATATTTTAGCCATATAAAATTATAATTTGACCCCTCAACTTTTAAAAAATTACAATTAAATCCTAAATTTTATAAAAATTCACAAATAGGTCCCTAGTGTTTTTGACAATGTGCTTTAGTAAAGAATGATCACATACTTCAGTAGGGGATAGCAACATTTCCTTCTACGGGATTCTGATAATGGATTGGATAAAAATTTATCCAATCTAGTTCTTTGAAAATGTTCACCAAACACAGCATTAAAATTTAATCCTATCTAGTCCTTTCTAATCCAGTGCATGAGATAGAAGCCTCTCTCTAGTCCTTCGTAATAACAAAGCAAGACGATCATCATATTCAAGACCACCAAAACGACATCGTCTTGGATCAGCTATAAGGTTACTGGACAACCTCATCAGGCACATCCTCTCGCTCCTTTCCAAAGGCGATGCCTTCCGGATTTGCCGGCTTTGGAAGGTTTGGTTTCTTGCTTGGGCTTCGGACCCCGTATTCGACGTAAACGAAGACCAAGACAATTTTTGTCAACTTTGTGGACAAAACTTTGTTAAAATTCAAGGACAATAATTTGATACAAAAATTCAAGCTTTACAAACTTATTTATGGAGAAGATTTTGATAGGATGGAAAATTTGTTACGTTTTTTTTGCTGAGAGGAATGTGAGATAATTGGATATAGATACTAAAATCAATGAAATTTTGTACACATTATCTCAATTCATTCTTCATGTAAATTCACTAACAGTTTTGAAACTGGCCAACTTGACGTTGAATGTGCATAATAATATTGACTTTATTACTCTCAAGTCCTTGAAAATTCTCTCCTTGAAATATTATAAGTTGGATGATGAGAATGCTCTTGACATAATCTCAAGTTGTTCTTCTCTAGAGCAATCGGATTTGTTGTTCTGCTTTGGCTTGAAAAGAAAGGCTTACTATTTCAAACTGATATCTCAAGGCCTTGAAGATTGCACATTGTAGATGCTCTAGAATTGAATTTGAATTGGCCACAAGGATTGAGACTTTTTCTTATACGGGACATTGGATTGGCGACATGATGAGAATGGCGCACTAGAAATTTCATCTTAAGGTGTTGCGTCAATGGCTGAAGGCCGTCAAGGATGCTCATGCGACGACGTCGCAAGATCGAATCTCTCAGACTTCCTCATCTTGTGAAGTTGAAACTGGCTTGCCGGGGAGGATCCCAACAATTCAAGATTTGTAACAAAACATTGCATCTTGAGTTGGTTGCAAGCCTTTTCCAGAAGGTGGACGTCAATGTTGATGCTCCAAATCTGATTTCTTTCGGGTACGACAAATGTTTGATTTCCATCGGATCGTTTAAAGGCTCCAAAGTTACTGGTGGGTTAAATTCTTCATATTGGTGTTCGAGAAATTCATCATCTAATCATTGGTGTTCAATCTTATTATATATTGTTCATTTTTGTTCTTTTTCCCTCTTTTTTCCTTTTAAGATATAAAGTACACAGAAAGAATGCCATTCTTTTCTTTAATTTTGTTGCGAAGAGTAAAACTTTTATTTTATTTTTTATTGTCTATGCTTAAACATTTATTCATATCGTGTGGTTTCATTATGAGATATATATGGTAATTGTGTCTTAATTAGGGATGACAATGTAATGGGTTCAAGATGCAGGCAAAAAAGAAGATAGGCCGCCGTACATCCACCCCGTAACAGGTTTCGGCTATCCAGAGGTCATCCGTTCAATAAAATTACGTTAATCATTGTATTTTATTGTTTCAACTTTTAATTCATCATTAAAGAAAACAAAAAAAAAATCATACAAATAATAATACACAATTAAGTAGTCTAGCAATAAATTCACATCTAATTCCACCATAAAGATAAAATATAGAGTTCAAATCTGTCACATGAAGTTCAAGAAAAAAAAAAAAAAAAAAAAAGGTTAAGATCTGACCACTATATATAACAATAAAAAACATATATATTACAACAACAAAAAATTGAAAAACAATTACATTTTTCTATAAAAGAAAGTAAAAGAAATGGTAGGTCCAACTCCAAGGTGGATCATGGGTTAGTGACCCCTAAAGCCCAACTGAACCCCAACCCCTGACTATTACACACTTCTAATTCGAACCCGAACCAAAAAAAAAAGGGAAAAAAAAAGATTAGGTTTACCAAAAGTTATCAAAATGAGCATGACTAAATGGGCTAGGCCGAAGCCCGCCTCTTTGGTTTGATGCTCCATTGGGTCCGCCTCGGGCCTATACACTATATAGGGCCCAAATCTTCTATCCAAAGGGCCAGCCAACTTGCTCATGCAGCCCGACCAGCTCCGGTTGACTTTTCTTGCGCAACATACTTTCTTTCTAGGTTTACCCCATCATATTAAACATTTTGAAAATCTGGGTAAAAATTACTTTTTTTTAATGGAAAGAAGTCAAAATTACCTTTTTTTTTTTAAAAAAAACAAAGTGAAAATTGCCTTTTAGTTAATAGAAAATGTCAGCCTTCTGTATCAAAAGAGAGTGAAAGGAAATGGAAATTTTTGCATCAGCTATGGCATGCTTATATGTTTTCGTTTCACTGCGTCGGCCTGAGCCAGTGCGTTGATCCTCAGAGAGACGGTTTTGCACGCACGCATATAGAGCAGAAAAGAAAACCTACTCGCAGATAAACTCCACGCGCCACTCCAACGAGCAATCCAACACGTGTAAGTTTTGAGATGGCGAGTCCACTACACTCTGAAACTCGCGAGAGTGATCATCTCAAGCTTCTTCACGTAACTAACTCGTCCGTCCACTACTTTCCCGCCCATTTTCACAAAAACTCCGATCGCAGCAATTTCAACGCAACTTCCCATTTCTTTCGATTTCGAATTCGTTAAGCTTGAGCTCTTCCTTCCCTCTCTTCTGTATCTATATATAACCCCCACCTCATTCTCTCTCTCTCGTTCTTCTTTTACATTTTGCTCTCTCTCTCTCTGTGAGTATCTACGAGTTTCAGAGATCAGAAATCGCCAGAATGAGAGGTCCGAAAACCGCTGCGATTGCTCACAAGAAGCCTGACGTTGAGTAAGCTCTCACTCTTCCGTTTCTGCTTCTATATTCAAATCGTTTTGAGCTGAATTTGTGTCTCTTCGTTGCTTTCCGTTCTCTCTCTCTCTCTCTCTGTTTTCCTTGTTGCTTCTCTTGGATCAGCTATTGAATTATCTTTTGGTTTTGTCGACAAGTTTGATCGATCGCTTTTTGTTTTTGAAGGATTTTGAAGAAGAGCAAGGCCGGAGCGACCAAAACGAAGAAGGAGAAGGCCAGCAAGAAGAACTCCGATGCTCCGAAGCGTCCTGCCAGTGCTTTTTTCGTCTTCATGTAGTTTTCTTATCTTGAGTTTTTCGATTTGATTTTATTGCGTTCGTTTTAGTTTGTGTTCTGATCGAGTGCTCTTTTTTTTTCCTGGCTGTGATCTTTTGTATTAATCACAGGGAGGAGTTCAGAAAGTCTTACAAGGAGAACTATCCGGATGTGAAATCTGTTGCAGTTGTGAGATTCGAACTCGGCGATACTAATTTGTTTTCTCATTAATGAAAATTATATGTACTTCTTGCTCCACGTTTGGTTTCGGTATAAATTGAAGCTAAAAGAGAAGTGAGATTGGAGTTTTTTTTTTTTTTTTTGGTTAATTTTCTTTTTCCTTTTTTTTTTTTTATTTTCTGATTACCGACTTGTTCATGTATGGCGATGCGTTTTGTCGAAAATTTAAACTGAAAATCGCAACTCTTATTTCATTTCAATTTCTAGGAAGTTATACAGAGAGAAACGTTTCGGTAGTGGATATTCATTTTTCTAGATGCTTCGTCCGTGCAGGTAGGGAAAGCTGGTGGAGAGAAATGGAAATCAATGTCTGATGCTGTAAGATCACCTCTTGCCTGTGTCGTATAGGAGCGTAAATCTTATAGAGTGGAAGATATAAATTGATTACTTAAAAAAAAAAAAAGTGATAAGCTATTATATTATCAAAATCCAGAGATCATTGCGTGAGTTGCTTCATGAATTTCACTTTTGATGTTTGATGTAAAGCATGTTAGCGAGTCTTGTTAATGTAAAAAAATTGATTAATCGATTAGTCTTTCCCTTGTATCTTAGAGATTCCGTTGATAAGAAACTGTAATTTCTTTTTCTGGTGTGTGTTTGTTTCTTTAGGACAAGGCTCCGTACGTTGAAAAAGCTTCGAAGAGGAAAGCAGAGTATGAGAAAGCTCTGGAAGCGTATAAAAAGCTGGTAATATCTTCAATATCAACTTGAAACTGATGTATTCCAAAGAATCTTTTCCTATTGGTATTATCAAATTGTAAATAGTGAATTTCCTCAGTTTATGGTTTTCTGATCTAATGGCTAATGCTTATACAATCCCTGTTTTCTGTTCGAATTCGCAGCATGGAAATGGAGGCGACGAGAAGCCAGAGGAATCTGAGAAATCAGGCTCAGAGGTCCATGAAGGATCAGGAGACTCGGGAGAGAACAATAGCTATTAGGTATATGGCTTTCTCTTCTTAACCGATTTTCAAAGAACAAATTAAAAATTAAAAATGAAGAAAGTGAAGTAGCTCTATTCTCTCAATTGTTCAATTGAAAGCAGTGCTTCCTGTCTGCATCTTTATACCTTCGATATATTAAGGTTGTTTCAGTCTGAATACGGTTTAACATTCATTGTTTAACAATGGTTGCAGTGCTGGTGATTTGGATGTCAATAATTGCATTTGGAGCAACGTTTTGGAAAAAGTTTACACTATCCTCTGTCTAGCTTCATCTACTAAGTTCAGTAGTTGTGGTAACTTTTGTTTCATCGACTGTTGATGTTCCCTGTAAATGCCACCTTCATGTGGATTTGTGCTTTCTCTCCTCTGAGCTTTCTGAGTCTTTTTTAGTTAAATGCAACACTTCTAAGGCAATTCTGGTTGGGCAATGAACGTTATGTCTAGGTACTGATGAGTATGAAGTAGATAAACAAAATATATTGTAGTAATGTTGACTTTCCTCTCTTGTGAAGTGAATTGTTTCAGTATCTTTTGGTGTTCCATCTGTTTTTGTGCTATCTGGTTTTTACAATTCTAGGGCATTTTCTACATTGCTTTTGTCATTTTACTTAAAAGGGATTAAATTGAAGAACAAGAAGTCCTAAGGGGCCAAAAAAGTAAGCACCATTTAGTATCAGATTCAGTAATGGAAGTCAAAGGAATAGTAGTTCCACACGCCACTTTGAAACTAACACTAATGAAAATGATATTGAAGAACAAAACTCGATACAGATGAATTTTTTTCTTTAACAGTAATTTAGCACATACAGTTCCGCTGATGTACACTAACAAGCAAAAGAGAAACAATTAGAGGCTTATTACTTCTTCTTCCCCGCTTTTCCTTCCTTTCTTCTGATAACCTCATCAGCATATTTCACACCCTTACCTTTGTATGGTTCTGGGGGTCTCCACTTCCTAATGGAAGCTGCAAACTGCCCGATTTCACTCTTGTCATAACCGCTAACAACGATTCTGGTATTGTCTTCCACCTTCACTTGAATGCCATTGGGGATCGTCATCCTCACAGGATGAGAGAATCCGAGACTTAGTACCAAGTCTTTCCCTTCCAGCATCGCACGATATCCCACACCGACCAGTTGAAGTCTCTTCTCAAACCCTTTTGATACTCCAACCACCATGTTGTCCGTCAGCGTCCTAACCAATTAGATGAAATGGGCATGTAAGAGCCAATCCAAAGAAGATTTTACCAAGAATACTGCTCGTGAATTAAGTGCACTTACCTTTTACTTACAGCAAAATTGTTTCAATATCCGACTAGGTAAATAAGAGTAAAGACCAAACTTCTAATATTCTTTCATATACAACGTAAAAAAGGGAATTGAATATGTGTGAATTAATCAAATAAAGTAACTTATAATATCAGTGATTTCTCAAGCTCTTGAAATCGCTATTCTACAAATTCTGTAGTTGAAAGCTTGCCCTGGGGAGCAGGCTTGGAGATACATATCCCGTAATAATGGCTAGATTTTTACAGAAGCAAAATAAAAGTACAGCATCCATAAAGTAACAAAAATAAAACAAAATCAGCTTAAAACCTCCATTAATTTAGCATAATTAGAATTTTTATCAGCTATCTATGTATGCATGTATAATTAGGTAGTTAAGTTAAATTTAAACAGCAGCATTCTCGTAAAATACAGACCAAATTCTTATCCTTCTTTCTTTCTTCCCTTTTGCTATCAACCTTAATCTAACATAAGATTGACAGACATGGACAGGAAGAGAAAAGATCAGAACGGAATTTTCAATTGATAAGTGTAGAACCCTGACTTTAAATTCAAATTATCCGCTATGGTATTTGATATGTTCTTAGTCTTGTTATCACTATAAGTATATAGAGCAGAGGATGGAGAGTTTACCTGAAGAGGCCATGCATCTGATTCGCCCTCCTAGTCTCGACTGCCTTTCTCACCCTTAGAATTCCAGACTCCTCCCTCTCAACCTTCACTTCGCGTGGATAATTGAGTGAGAGTTCCCCCAAAGGGCCCTTTACTTTCAAGCCCTGTCCTTCCAATGTGATTGTCACGTTGCTCGGCACTTCAATTGCTTGCTTTCCAATTCGAGATTCCTTACATTCTATGTTCTTCTTCACAAACCCAACACGACTTACAGGAACACTAGAAACAGAGAATCCATTTCTCTCGCCCAAAAATACAGATCGAAAGCTGCTGAAAACATATGCAAATTTCCTCTTAAATTTTCGGAATATTTCTCTGTAAAGTCTAAGCTGCAGAGTCAACTCTTAGGTGAAATCATTTCAATACTATATACATTGCAGAAGTCAGACGCAAATACTCGACATAAGAGACACTGCATTCATGTGCTCAGAAAGTTGAGGCCTAGGGGGAAAAGAAAAGGAAACAAAACAAAACAAAACAAAACAAAACAAAAATACAAAAAACCAAGTTGTCTCTTTGCTAAGCCCCAACATCACAATCTGACTTTGTAAGTTTCCCGTCAAAATTTGGAGAGAAACAAGAAACAATATGAAGCTCAAACTACAGTTTCCGTTATTACAAGAAGCTATAGCAGGCTTCAATAATCATTAACCGCGATCAGTCATATAATAAATTAAGACAAGTTTCGAGCTATTTGAAATGCTAAATATCATCTCTCGCATTTCGAATCCTCGTAAAGAAAAAAATCTTGTATTCAAATTCGCATCACAAAATTACGTTCATGTTTCCAGAACAAGAAAAAGGACTGCGACCATCACAAACTGAGTCAGCAAATCTAAAGTTTCAAGCATCCAAGTTTTCATTTTCCAAAAGTAAATATAACTAGGAGGTAGGGCCAATTCATGTTACATAAGTGTAATGTTGCACCCACTACCATACATAAGAGGGATTTTGTTGCATACGTGGCAAACAACCATGTCGAACTTTTCAATCAGCATTTGATTAACACTGGTATTTAATAAAAACACACACACACACACACATGTACATATGTGTGTGTGTGGCAACAGAAACAAAGTCAAATTGTGAAGCAACAAGACACTGAGATGCAAAGTTGTGCTGTTTAGCTAAACTATATTTCAGATAAAGAAGACCCATATCAACCAAAACACAGACAACCCAACTAATTTACACACAAAAGCCAACAAAACCCAATATTGAGAACGTTCAAGGATTCACAAGAAAAGCTCAATTTTTTCCAAAATTCCTAACAAAATCATAATCACCCAGCAGCATGATACGGAAACCACATTGCAGAAGCAATGTTATAATTTATACACTGGCCCAAAAAAAAAAATTTGAAGTGCAAATTCACGGGGAAAAAAAAAAGATAAAGCAGATGGTATAAGGTAGAAAGAGGATGTTGATGGGTCTTACCTGGTTTGGAAAGAGGAGGTTAATGAGGAAGCCATTGTTAAGAGCTTGAGAGCAGCAGCCGAGTGTGTGCGACCTTCTCCTTCTCTCGGCTTTTTATCATATCCAAATACCAAACCAAAATGGCCTTCCTGGTTCCTGCGCAGCCCGTTATCCAAATGGAGATCGATTCCTATAATGTCCTAATTATCCTTATTTCTTTGCAAAATTTCCACAATACCATCCTTCGGAATTCAATTATACAGTCTTTTTTTGTGTGAATATTTTAGGAATAGTAAAATTACGTCATAATTAATATAATGAGTTTACTTTTTATGATATAAAATTATGTAACAAGCATTATAATGTTTTTAATTTGTGTAATTTGTATTGTATCCTAAACTCTTTATGCTATTTTAACATAATTAGGATGGTAATTCATGTTAATGATAATGGTCGTGTCTAACCCGTTTATTAAGCGTGTCAAAAAATATCAACCTAAAACACGATATATTTATTAAACGTGTCAAAGTGTCAATTTAAACACGACCTATTTTTTTATCGTGTCAACTTCGTAACTTGTTTAAATTAATATATGGAATAAATAATCGATACAATTAGAATTTATTTAACATGATCATGGCATGTTTATTAGTTTTATAGATCAATTTATCTTTTCTTTTAAGAAAACAAGTAAAATTTATCTAAAAATTTTGAAATACATATTATTTGTATTTAATACATCATTTAAATTTTTTATATTATATCGTGTATCACTAATTTATAAATGATATATACAATTAATCGTGTCAACTTAGGTAAAAGTGTTAAAAGATCAACCTTACTCCAACCCTTTTATTAATCGTGTCAACTCGATTATAACTTAAACCTATTTATTATAAGGAAAATCTTTGTGTCCTCATAGGAATTTATCCTCCTAGACACAAAGAAGAAGGCCCCACATGGTGGGATCCACGTAGGCCTTATAAGTGGGGCCTACTTTTGTGTCTCCCATCACACAAAGGAGTGCTCTTATTGTAAGCCCAGACTCGTTAATTTTGTGTGAGTTTTGAGTCGTGTTATCGTGTCATGACTCAAATTGTTACTCATATATTACTATATTGTGTTATTTGTCTAGCTAGCCCTTTAGAGCCTCGTCCAAGCCTTTGATTAGGTTTTTCACTGAGTGAGAAAGAATAACTTTCAAAAATTTGATATTTTTTGGGTTGTGGGAAGAGAATTAGTGTTTAGATATATCATTTAGTTAAAAAAAAAAAGTTTCATTTACACCAATTCTCGTTATGAAATTCTTTAGGGGACGTTGATTCATAGATTCAGAACCATGCTTTAAAATTATTCTCGATTTACGTGTATTTTTTGTGAAAAAAATACTATAACGAGTCACGAATTGTGATCCGAACCATGGCACGGATCCTTATTCTAAACGCACTCGTTTAGTTCGCTGATTCGAGTTGAGATGTGATTTTATGTGAGAGCTTTTTACTGTAGCAAAACAGTTAGATGTGACTGTTTCTGAGAGCTTTTTACTATAGTAAAACTCAAATTCTAAACTTGAATCAGTGAAATGAACGTGGCCTTAATTTCTTCTATCAAAAAGGAGAGGAAAAAAAAAAAAGAGCAACTCTGTATGTACTCATGCCCACTTTAATGAGAGGATGGAAATATAATCCGCATGGGGTTAAATCATTTATCATCCACGTATAAAATATAAGAATGTCATGGTGTTGCGGACGAGAAAGTTGGATGGTAGATTTCAATTCTCCTTGCTCACTGGCAGACATAGGCTAGTGAACCAAACAGGGAACAAAAAATTCCTTGGGTCAATCAAGAGAAAAGCATTTGAGCAAAATCTTTATAAAATGACCCCCAAAAAAAAAAACGCTAAATCCACTGAAAAGCTAATTATTGGAAGTCTTTAGATTCCGTTTGAGAAGTGTATTTAAATTATGATTTGAATTTTAATTCAAATTTTTTTAAAAGAATTATTAGCATAATTTTTTTATTTAAATTTTTTATATACTAAACAACCTGTTAATGTGAGTTAGTGGAGAATTTTAAAGGAGTTTCTCTTTGGTTTGGACTCTTTTCAAAGACTTATTTGACAAATAGAATTGCTAGCTATATTCCAGCAGAAGGTTTTTTTTTTTTTTTTTTTTTTTTTTTTGTCAATGAAAAGTTATTTGTTATTATTAGATTTAGCGGAGTTTGTCCAATTTTAGTATCTTATTCTAAAATTTATATTCTTTTAACATTGTTTAAATTTAAAACTATCTTATTAACTTTATAGTTTTAAGGCCCGTTTAGTTCGTTGATTCGAGTTTTTAATTCGAGTTGAGATGTGATTTTATATGAGAACTTTTTACTGTAGTGAAAAAGTTAGATTGTTTGTGATAGCTTTTTACTGTAGCAAAACTCGAATAAGCGAAATGAATGGAGTGTTCAAAATTTATTTTTTAAGAATATTGTGATTCAAAATGTAAAATCTTATACCACAGGATGAACACAAGGATTGGACAAAATAGTGAAATAGAGTTTTAAAATTTGAAACAACTTTAAACAAAGAGAACATACATGACTTCGTCATTGGCTAATAATAGAGGTGTCAAACGTGTCAGGCCGGGCCGGCACGACACGTCTCACCCCAGGCCTGCCATGGGCCTAGGCTGTGAGAGGCACGGACTTGAACAATTCAGGGTCGGGCCTGAGGGTCTTCCTTTAGGCCCAACCCTGGCTCAGACCCTTGTCCGTAAGGATCAGGGCCGAGCCCGGGCCTAGGCCCTTCATAGGCCAGCCCTGGCCATTTTAATATTTATTGTAATATTTAATGAAAAAAAGAAAATATATCATATGCCCATAAAAGATGTGATTTTATTGAATTAAAGTAATACAAATAAGTACACATAAATGACTGTCTCGTTAAAAATCTTACCAAGTAAAACCCGTGGGGAGATCGGGACAAAACTTAGCGAAGGAAAAAAGAGTGCAATATACAAGGATAAGTAAATTACAAGGATAAGTAAATTACACTGTGGCCGAATCGTTTCCAGAAGATTCCGTTATGTCTAAGTTTGAAAAATATTCTTGAAGTGTATCATCCGTATAGTGTTGTTTCCGTCTTCTGGAATCTTCCCAGTCTTTCACGCACATTAGTCCCTTCAAGATATCCAAGTACATTCTACTCCTCTTCTCGTCAAGAATTCGGTTGCTTGCACTAAATGCTTGCTCTGATACTATCATTGACACTGGAGTTGTTAGAATGTCACGTGGTATCATGGATAGTGTTTAGAAAACGATATGTCTTGCTTTTCCACCACTGTAAGATGTCCAGTTTGTCATCATCAATTACAAAATTTGATTCAAAATATTTTACTAGTTTTGAAGACGCTTGTATTAATGACGATCCCGATGCTTTCTCTTTCCTCTTCAAGAAGCTCCACGATGATCCTTTAGGCCCCGAACTGCTCCTTGACATCGAAGTTGCATGTTCTTGTTGTCTTGTTTGGAATTTTGTTTCATACAAAGCAAACAAATTTTTTAACATTTTCCTAGCCTCTTCTATGGTTAGTTGTATATCAATACCTAAATTATCTGCTGTAGCATACATCAAACATTTGGTCCCATCTAATCTGTATCTAGGATCTAAAATGGTTGCTAATGCATGCATATAACATAGGACAACTAGCCAAATAACTTTTAAATTTAACTTCAATTTCATTAACTATGGGTCTAAAAAGATCAGTATGCCTATAATAGGCAAATATTTCTGAAATATTAAATAATTGATGCAAAACTAAATGCACAATAGGATAATAAACACCAAAAAGTAATTCAGTAGCGTTGTAAAAATTTTAAAAAAGTACTCACCAATCTTTCAATCTGGATCGTAAATAAAATGTTCACCATGTTTACTATTCACGTACGTACTGATGATCTATTGATACAAAATTGCAGTCTTCAACATTAAGTAGGTGGAGTTCCACCTATGTCTCACATCAGTTGAAAACTTTCTTGGCCGCATCTAGCTGTTCCTGCAATATTGTCAAAATTCTTGGAGCCGAGCTCCAAAACTAGATATGAAAGATAACAATTCTCTAATTTTTGTTAGATGAGGGGAAATAGATTCAATTCATGCTTGTACCACTAAATTTATTATATGACACGCACACCGTTGATGAAAAATTTCACCACCAAAAGGTGGTTTTAAATTAGCTTTAAACATGTTAATAGCAGTTGTGTTAGATGATGCATTATCAAAAGTAATTGTTAAAACTTTATATTTAATCCCATAAAAATTAAAAATTTCCATTATAGTTGAAAAAAATAGCATTTGCGTTATGTGGAAATTGACATAAACGAAAACCAATTATTCGTTTGTGTAAAACCCAATCCTAGTCAACATAATGCACCGTGACGCATAAATAACTAGTTTTATTGCACCCTTTCTAAAGATCAGAAGTACAAGAGATTATAGCATTGAAAGACCTAAAATTATCAATTAGAGATTGTCTCATTGTATAAAAAACTTTCATGCCATCAGCTCGTGTTGTGTTTCTACTTACCCATTTAAATTGTGGACAGGAGGTCGTCTGAATGAATTCTTCAAATGTTGAATCATCTGCAAAAGACAAAGGTAATTTGGCACTAGCTAAAAATTTAGCTAGTGCCTCACGAGCACGTTGTGCATGACTTCTAAAATTTTATAAACCTTGTGATGTGAGTAACAATGTTTGTTGGTGGGAGTCCACACTACTACCTTAGTGCAATGGTAGACATGTTTTCTAATGTCTATCAAGATGGCCAGTACCCCCACCCTTTTTGTTAGAAAAATATTTTTTTACAATATTTACATACCGAACGCATTTCAACTTCACCTGATTTTGGATTAGGCCGTAGCTCCTCGGTGAAATATTGTCATGCATGAGCAGTTCACGGTCTTTTTCTCCTAGTATGTTCTCCAGCTTTCTCGTTGTGCACTGATTAATTATCAACCGAAATAGTATCCGGCTCAGTGGGGTTGGAGTTGTGCATCAATATTTCATCCTCGTAAAATGATTGATCTCTAAGATCAGAGAAATCAAGGAAATTTCCTTCCGCCATTTTCTGTAAAAAAAAAAAAAAAACA